AAAAAAAAAAAAAAAAAAAAGAATGTAAAAAAAAAAAAAAGAATGTAAAAAATAAATAAATAAATAAATAAATAAATAAATAAAAAAATAAAAAAATAAAAAAAAAAAAAAAAGAAAGTGAACTTTATGCCTAGTGTGGGGCTTGAACTCACAACCCTGGGATCAAGATATTCCACCGACTGAGGCAGCCTGGCACCCTGTTTAAAAATTTTCTTAATGATTGCGTATTTGTAGCACCCTATATATATATATATATAGATACAGGCAGTCCTGTAGATGGACATTTTGGTTTGCTCTCAGTAGCTTGTAGTAACACACACACACGTTTCTGTAGATAACTTCCTAGAGGTAGAATAAAAAAGTATGAATATCTAAAATTGAAACAGATATTCGCCAGCAAGAATTTTTCCATATTAAAAACATCTAGAAAGTATGGAGATTAACGTAAGAAATATCCATGTACACATTACCCAGAATTAACATTTGTTAACATTTTACATTTAAAATAGAATAGAATAGCGCCTATAAGTTTTATCTTTTTTGTTTTCCTCTACGTCTTATCCCCTTCTCTCCCTATCCATAGAAAACTATTTTCATAAGTTTGGGGTATTTTAATCCATTTTTAATTTTTTCTTATATATCCCATACTTACATCCCACACATAACATCACTTTGTCTGTTTTTTCTCCCCCAGACCCAACATGATCCATTTGAACCTTTTTCTGAGGTTTGTCATCTCTCTCTCTCCTCCCAACTTCATTCCCTTGGTTGTGAATAAGAGCGATCTCCCCCACTGAGTATGGCAATCCACCTCCACCCCTTTCTGGAATAGTGCACAGCAAAAGCAAGAAATCCACATACCTTCTGTATATACTGAAAAGTACAGATCTATAACTTACACAAATTATGTTTAAAACATTCTGTAGTCTGGGTGTGCCCCTTGCAGATGCATTTTCCTCTCCTTTTCCTGCAGAGGTCACAACTGTCCTGGATTTTGTTTTGGTGATTTCATTGTATTTTTTAATCATTTTTATTACCTATGAATACATACCTAAAAATATTGTTTTACCTTTTTGAACATCATGTAAATTGAATTATATAATAGTTAATCGCTTGTAACTTGCTTTTCATATTCAACATGAGTTTTGGAATTCAGGTGAAAAGAAAATTTCACAAAACAATTTTTAATCTTTACTATGAGGGATATCCTGATTTTTGTTTGTTTGCATTCTGTTTCATTTTTTAAAATGCTGATTTTGACCTACTAAACTGATTTCACAATGGATCATGATCCACAGTTTAAAAACACACTTGATTTAGGATATATGCCTGAAAGTGTTAGATTATAGGGTATGTTTAAGTTTAACCAGATATTGCCAAATTGCTCTCCTTTACATTGATTGTAATAGTTTACCTCCCAACCAGTAGTAGTATATGAGAATTTCTAGCTTCCTGTGTCTTCAGAAGGCAGGAATTTTTTTCAATCATTAATTTAAAATATTTTTGACATAATTTCAGGCCTAACAGAAAGTTCAAAGAATGCTACAATGAATTCGTGGATACTCTTTTCCCAGATTCCTCAAATGTTAATATTTTACTACATTTGCTTTGTCTTTTTTTCTCTTTATCTATACAGTCACATACACACATAGATAGGTTTTTTTTCCTGAACCATTTTATTTTTTTATTTTTTAAATTTTTTTCCTGAAGCATTTTAAAGGTGCGTCTTGGCAGCACTTTTCACAGTAGACAAAAGGGAGAAACAACTCAATGTCCATCAATAGATAATGGGTAAACAAAATGTGATACACACTCATACACACACACACACACACACACACACACACACACACACACACGTATCGCATGTACATACATACTTACAGGGGAATATATACTCCTGTATAGATGAACTTCGAAAACCTCAAAGTGAAAATAGCCAAATATTAATGGCCACATATTGTGGCCACAGTAGATCCGTAGAAACAAAACAGATTAGTGGTTGCCAGTGGGTAGAGGTGGGGAGCAGTGAGGGAGTGACTGTGTAATGGATAGAGTCTCCTTCGAGAATGGTGAAAAGGTGTTGAAACTAGATAGAGATAATGGTTGTGTAACATTGTGAATGTACTAAATGCCACTGAATTGTACACTAAATATACTGAATTGTATACTTTAGGATGGTTAATATGAGAACAAAAAAGAGAATAAGTTGCAGTTATGATATCTGTCTACCCCTAAAATATACTAAAATCTAGGAATTTTCCTATATAGTTATAATAGTTATTAAGAGCAGGAAATTAACACTGAAGCAATACTGCAACCTACAGACCTTATTTATCAGTTGTCCACATAGTATTCTTTATAGCAAAATAAAGTCTATGGTGACATTTTGCATTTAATTGGCACATCTCTAGGTTTTTTTGATCTGGAGCAGTTCCTGAGTCATTGATAGTTTTGAAGAGTCCAGGCTAGTTATTTTATAATTAGTATATTTTATAATTATACTTGGTATATTTTATACTTTGAGTGTGTCTGATATTTCTTCATGGTACATGAATCTTCAGCTTATGCACTTGGTGGGAATGTCATTGAAGTGTCGTTGAGTGAGAAGGCAGAGATTTTAATGTTAAAAAATTTTAGAGCTTTTCCAGCCACTTTTTTCCCCCCTATTAAATATTCTCCATAAGATATTACTAATCTTATGTATCATATTCTAGGAACAGTCACTGACTAAAGCTTAACTTTAATATTTTTTAAAAATTCCAAGTGATTAACATTTGTTAGTCTCTCTATTGCATTTAACTCTGAGCTAGCTTGCAGTAAATGCGTATCTTCATTAGCAAGATCCCAAACTTGCACCTCTTACATAGAGAAGAATGGGAACTGAAAATTTGGGTTTCTCTTCTTACAGTTGCTGTTAAGAAAAGCAAAAGAGTTCGTATTTGAGACATTTTGGTTTAGATACAGTTATTTCTAATACAGCTAAACTTTCTTGTTTTGGGTTGAATGGAGAGAAAAATACAACCGGAATGCGGGTGTTTGTTTTTGTTTTCATTTGATTATGTCTAGTAGCATAAAGTCATTGGTGGCCCTGGATTACTGGATAATTTTAATATGTTAGTACCTCTTTTTCTCTGAAGCTGTAGGATCCTCATATGACCTTCACAACAATGCTGTGAGATTAGTTATTTTATTTCCTTCATTCACTCAGCAAATATTTCTTGAGCATCTGTGTTCTACCAAGCACTGTTTTGAACGCTAGCGATATGCACCAAATAAAATAGCAAAAGTTCTTAGCCCCAGGAATTTGCATTTTAGTGGGGGGAGACAAAGATTATCCTTTAAAGAAGGTAAATGTTTATATTTAACACGTAGCACATGTACAAAATTCAAATGATGTAAAAGAGTATACCATGAAAACAGGTCTTCCTCCTACCTTTTCCCCCTATCTTATCAGTTGTCCTCTCCAGGAAAACTGGAGTTCCCCTTCCTAGTTTACCAACTACTATAACTGGTTTCTTATATATCCTTATAGGGATTGCCTATGCGTATGTAATCGTACCTGTAACATATACTTCTTTCTACCCTCTAACATTCTTGGTTGCTTTCTATATGTATACTATTCTTGGCCTTAGTATGTTTTCACCTAACACTGTATCTTGGAGCTATATCTTCTCTTGCTAAATGAATATATGTTTAGGTTGCTTCCAGACAGCAATAGATAATTATGTTTATTTTCCCCACCAACCATAGGTGTTATCAAGTATTTTATATTAGTTACCTAATACAGAGCTCAAAGAGACAAAAAATCACACTTTCAAACTCTCTTAAGTGGTTCTAAATAACTTTGTCTTGGGGTGGCCTGGGTGGCTCAGTCGGCTAAGCGTCTGACTTCACCTCAAGTCATGATTTCACGGTTCATGGGTTTGAGCCCCGCATCCGGCTCTGTGCTGACGGCTAGCTCAGAGCCTGGAGCCTGCTTCAGATTCTGTGTCACCCTCTCTCTCTCTCTGACCCTCCCCTGCTCATGCTGCTTCTCTCTCTCAGAAATAAACAAAACATTAAAAAAAATAACTTTTTCTTTCTTAAATAAATATCAAATCTTTCCACAAACATGAGAATATTAAAAAACCTCAGGAAAAGAAAACTTTGAATATTTTAGGTGCTCCTCTAACAATCAGAAACTTAGGCATAAGCATACAATTCTTTTGTGTTTACCTTTACAGGTGTCCCCTGGAATTTTACATTTAATGTCAAGTTTTATCCGCCTGACCCAGCACAGTTAACAGAAGATATAACAAGGTAAATTTATTAATGGTTAAATATAGAATAAGTAATTCTCATTTTCATAAGCTCTGGGAATTTCCTTATTTGGAACTGAAGAAAAATTCTGTGCTATTAAACTTTAGTTTCTAGTCACTTCAAGGCAGGTTTGCAAATAAGCGGGCCTAAAAGCCTTGTTTATCTGTGATGTGCTTGGAGGAAATTGGCAGGGGAATTAACCTTGCTTCTCATGGGCATTATGACAAGTTATGTACAGGACACCTATAAACCCCATGCCCTCCAAAGAGCAAGATGTAAATATTGTGGTAAAATAGCTCTACTACTTTCTCTCTTTAATACTCCTTCCCCACCATGTTTTCTATTAGAGGGATCAAAAAAGCAGAAGCCTGTGTTACTGTTGTGTCTTCTTAACTCCCTTTAGGTACATAATCCTCATGAGCTGAATCTTCAGTAGTTTTTGAGCCCACTTAATTTATGAAATAACTCTTGTACTCTTTGAAAACAACTTACTGATTTATTTTAGGAAAATGGCCTTTATTGGATTCTATGTAAATATTAATATTAAAAAAGAAAATGGAAAGCCAGCATATTTATAAATACTATTATACATATTTATATCCACAACATTCTTATACATAGTAGGTGCTTGGCAAATGTTTGTTAAATTGAACTGTTGGTTGGTGAGAAATGGCTTTCTAATTCTGCCTAAGTAAACTCTGAGTGTTAAGTACCATAAAACCTTGGTTTGCGAGCATAATTCGTTCTGGAAACATGCCTGTAATCCAAAGTACTTCTATATTGAAGCAAATTTCCCCATAAGAAATAATGGAAACCCAGATGATTCGTTCCATATAAAAATGATTTCAGTACTGTAATATAATACAAAATAATAAATACAAAATATAAAGAAAAATTAACAAATTAACTTGCACTTAACTTTGAAAACCTTTGTGGCTGGTGTGAAGGAGACGAGAGAGGAGGCTTATTGTGTAGGACGACTTCACTATCAGTAAAGGGATCACTTCTATTTATTGGCTCAATGGAATCTTTTTCTTTTCGTGCAACTTTAACAAGGAACCTATCCAGGGACACTTGCTTTTGCCTCCTTTTGAGGAGTTCATGGAAATTGACAACGCATTGTCATTAAACAGATCCATCACTCAGACTGCCTTGGCCTTATTTGGGTGGTGCTTTTCTACAAACTTTGCACTGTTTTCCCCCATTTTACACATCTCCCTAATCTCATTTGAAATGAGGGATTCTTCTGCGTTTTTCTCCTCCTCCTCTTCTCCAGATGAGATGCGGACATAGACTTCCTATAAAATCTTGCAATTTCAGCCACTTGCATACCTTGTTCATACTAATCAATAATTTCCTTTTTAACTTCCACTGTAATAATCTCCTTCTTATTACCACCTTTCTTTTCAACCTTTTTCTGCCTAGGGGTTATTGTATATGCTTACACAGATGTTGACTACAGTATTAATAAACTCTTGTCATCTACTCTACTTAATTTAACTGGCAGTAAGGCAGCAAGGAAGGGGTCTATATCTGCAGGCAGCCTGACCTAGAATGAAGCAAAGCATTCCTAAGCTTACTCTTGTATGGAAAAGCAAAGGACTGTCCATCGGTGCTTTGAAGTGACAAAAAATACACTAGTGCCAGTGATGGACACCTTCCAACGTTCTGAAAAATCACTGATTTCGACCAGATACCATGGCCTGAGACTGAGCATCAGAGCATGAGAGGCGATCACCCACAATCCTGCAGCAAGAGAGAGAACATTAGCTCAGTTGTCATCATGTGACATTCTGCATCATGTACTATTCGTATTGCAAGACATCGCTTGTTTATCAAGTTAAAATTTATTAGAAATATTTGCTCACTCACAAAACAAATTACTTAAGGTTTTACTGTACTGTGAAATTTAAAAAAAAAAAATTCTTTGTCTAGGTAATCCTTAGTACATTCTTGAAGTTGAGATGTCCTCTCTGGCCCGAAAAAATTGTTTTGATTATTTCATTTTCACATGTAATATTTTTGTCTCTTAGAGTTGCTTCTTATTCATCTTCATTGAGGTTATGTATAAAACAATACAAATCCCTGAAATTTTTTGCTAATTATCCACATTTTAGAGGAGATTAAGATTCTTGTGATTTGGTTGGCATTCCTCTTTTTTTTAAAACATGTATGTAGTGCCTGATTATAGGTAGCAAAATGAATGTTAATATCTGTATTATTCAACATCTTATTATGGTCTAAGCAAGGATATAATTCTAATTAATACAGGAATTTTCAATTTAATCATATCTCCCAGCTTTCCTGTTTGGTAAAACAGTTTATATTGGTCGACTCAATTAGAAAAAGTGCTAAGGAGATCAGGATCACAAGTGTAAACATTATACTGATGGAGATGAATGCCTAACATATGTAGGGGCACTTGGTTGTTTGTTCTACTGAACAATTTTAACTCCAGTTTGAATTCCCAACAATGTAGTACACTGGTGGAATTAGTCTTACAAGTTGACAGTGAATGGAAGACTCTATGCACCTTAGCCTATCTTGAAGGGTAAATATCTGAAAATGTTCAGATCCTAGTAAAAGTGTGTCAATAATGTCATCTTCGTATATGAGGGACAATATCTACATATTTGGCAAAGCAGTATGATACAAGAAGTCCAGTTTTGGAGCCAATCTTTATTACTATACGACACTGAGCAAGCTTAGTGTTTGAAACTGCCTCTCTATCTTTAATCTGGGAATGATACTTAACTCACAAGTTTTGTCATGAGATAATTTATGTGTATATGGTACTTAATAAATCAATAAAATATTAATTTCTTTGCCTCCTTCAGACTTTTCCCAGTATCTTTTCTTTCTTTCTTGTTATTGAAGATATAATTGACACACAGTATATTTGTTTCAAATGTGCAACATAATGATTCAATATTTGCCTATATTATGAAATGATCACAATAGGTCTCGTTCACGTCCATCACCACACATACTTACAAAAATGTTTTTTTCTGGTGATGAGAGCTTTTAAGATCTACTCTCTTAGCAACTTCTTTTCTTTTTAAATTGCCTTCCAAACATGAGTCCAACATATTTAAAGGGTTTTTTTTTTTTTAAGTTTTTATGTGGGAAAATTTTAAACCCACAAAAGAAGAAATACTAGTATGATGAGCAATCGTATACCCACTACCTAGGTTGAACAGTTATTAGCATTATCTCATATTTACTTAATCTTTCTTGTTTTCCTCCCTCCATCCCTCCCTCTCATTCCCCCTTTCTTCCTCTTTCTCTATATTTTGTTGTTGGTGGTGCTGACCCAGTAACATTTTTTTCTCTCTTGGCTGTAGATATTATCTATGCCTCCAACTTCGAAAGGACATAGTTACGGGACGTCTGCCCTGTTCCTTTGCAACCTTAGCATTATTAGGTTCTTACACCATCCAGTCTGAGCTGGGGGACTATGACCCGGAACTTCATGGTGCAGATTATGTTAGTGATTTTAAACTGGCCCCAAATCAGACCAAGGAACTTGAAGAGAAGGTCATAGAACTGCATAAGTCATACAGGTAAATATGTCTCCAGGGTTTTTTTTCTGTTTGTTTTGGCAATAAGTTTAAGCCCTTGACCTGGTTTTGATTTGGTGTTTGTCTTGGAGGGAATGTGGTGCTGTAGAGAGTCAGCTCGATCCCCTCCACTGTTTGACTTTGAGGAGGTCATTTAAGCCCTTGGAGCCTCTGTTTTCTCATCGGAGTAGTAGGTGTTGCATTGTAGGGTGAAAACTAAATGAGGCAATATATGTAAAGCACTGAACACTGTGTCTGGCACATAGTAGGTTCTCAGTAAATGTTAGCTATTGTTACCTTTTTTTCAGATTTTAAAATTATTATGCCATCTTAGATACTTTAAGATCTTTAAAGCAGGGTTCTTAGGATATATGTACATGGATAAACTTCAGAGGACCCATGAAACCCCTGAAGGTATTTTTAAAAGTCTTGATTGAATTCAATGCTTTTTCTCATGGAAATTGTTGGTAATGTTGGGAGGTATCGTCACACAGTGATCAAAAGCAAGGACTGGGCTGGGTTAAATCTTGGCTCTGCTGGGTCTTGACCTTGTGACCCCGAGTTATTCACTTAACCTCTCCAAGCCTCAGGTTACTTTTTTTTTTTTTAATGTTTGTTTATTTGAGAGAGAGACTGAGAGAATGGGCGAGTCAGGGAGGGACAGGAAGAAGGAGACAGAGACTTTTAAACAGGCTCCACACTATAAGAGCAGAGCCCGATGTGGGGCTTGAACTGCGAAATCATATGACCTGAGCCAAAATCAAGAGTTTTGGTTGGGGTCATGATCTCATGGTTCATGAGTTCAAGCCTTGCAACTGGCTCTGTGCTGACAGTGCAGAGCCAGCTTGGGATTCTCATTCTCTCCTCCTCTCTCTGCCATGCTCTTAACTGAGCCACCCAGGTGCCCCAAGCCTCAGGTTCCTTTAACGTCCTATGGAGATGATTACCTCAGAGTAAATAGGGCAATGGCTAGGATTAGAAAAGATACTGTGTGGAAAAACTTAATACAGTGTCTTACACATTGTCAAAATTTAGCACGTGTTAGCTAATATTTTTTAAATTTAATTTATTTATTTTGAGAGAGACAGTGTGAACAAGAAAAGGGCAGAGAGAGGAGGAGAGAATGAGAATCCAAAGCAGGCTCCACACTGTCAGCACAGAGCGAGTTGCAGGGCTTGAACTCATGAACCATGAGATCATGACCCCAGCCGAAACCCAGTCAGAAGCCTAATCGACTAAGCCACCAAGGCGCCCCAGTGTTAGCTAATATTAAAGTGCCAGAATAATTTGTGTTTCTTTCTACTGTACATCCCATTGTTATTTGAGTGACTTGCTGTGGCTAAATTTTACAGCCTGCCTTAGCTTATTAACATGAATGGCTGATCTTGGCCTTGAGTTAGTACCCTGAGTTATGTTAGTGAGAGTTAGGAGAATCCAGCTGTCTTCTAAGCCAGACATTTAAAACTTTTGTAAATATGTGAAATAATGTCACTTTTCTTTACTACAGTTTAGGAAAATATTGTTATTTTTCACATACACAAAAGTTATGAATGTTAAAATATGAGTTTATTATTATTCTTTAAAGATTTAATAAACATTAAAACATTTTTCTTAGTTTTAATTTCTTTTTTTTTTTAAATGTTTTATTTATTTCTAGGAGAGAGAGAGAGAGAGAGAGAGAGACAGCGTGAGCAGGGGAGGGTCAGAGAGAGAGGGAGACACAGACTCTGAAACAGGCTCCAGGCTCTGAGCTGGCAGTCAGCACTGAGCCCGACGCGGGGCTCGAACCCACGAACCGCGAGATCATGACCTGAGCAAAAGTCGGACGCTTAACCAACTAAGCCACCCGGGCGCCCCTTTTAGTTTTAATTTCTAATGTAGTAAATATTGGTAGATATAACCCACATAAAGAAAAGCTCTTTGGAACCCTTAGTAAGTGTTGAGAGTGAAGAGATCCTAAGGCCAAAGTTTGAGAGTCACCAAGCTAGACGATGAGATGGAAGCATGGGCTCTGGAATCAGCCTGTCTTACTTTGAGTTCAGACTCTGTACCTTAGTAGTTTTATGTCTCTTAGGAATTTTACAAGCCCTCTGAGCATCAGTTTTCTCATCTGAAAAATAAGGGTAATGATAGGAATTTTGTGAATGTTAAAAATGTGAAGTGATTAGCATAGTGACTAGTATACAGTGAGAGTATTTTTTAGCATAATAATTCCTAACCCCATTTTACAAGTGATGCCTGTGAATCTGGGTTTAGAGAACTACTTTTTGTAACTTAACTGAATTTAAGCCCAAATAAGTGAAATGATCTCAAGAGACAGGTGGATATGGTCCAGTTGATGTTCTGTTAGGTGTATGAATAGAAATTAAGTAGTAATAGATCTCCATGACTAGAAAATTGAGAGGTAAGTCATCTTGGAAGTTACTTGCTCCTTTTCGGAAAGATTGGCATGCTTTACAAACAGAAAGCCGATGGAAAATTTAATTATGTCCAACAACATGGCACTTTAAATAATCCAGAGAACCTTCTGCTGAGGCTTACTATGCATCGAAAAGTACAAGCAAATACCATCCTGTTCTCAGATAAATAGAAGACTGCCTATAAACATGGAACCCTTAGTTGGTGGCCCTTTGCCCAGACAGAGACTTTGAAGCTATAATTAACTTTAAATTTATACTAGCAAATCAACCTTTAAAATGAATTGCCCTCCATTTATGGGTACTAGGAAAGTATGTAAACTTGTCAGTTGTCCCCCACTTAATTATCTGAAATCTCAGCCCTTAATTAGGAGATGCAACAAACATTATTAAAAGGCTGTCACATAACATTGGAACTCACTGAATGGCTCTGTATCCGGACCACACTTGCTCAAAATAAATACAGAGAAACTTTGTTTTAGTTTCTCTTTTTAATGAGCAGGACCTAACCAGTGCCAAACCTCTCTGGTTAGATGCTTTTGTAAGTTTGCAGTTCTTTCAAGTCGTAAATTATGAGGTGGTACTGAATAAATTCCTAATGGTTTAGAGATATCTAACCTCTTCCCAGCTAGTTTTCCAAGATTTCAGGAGTCTTGGAAATTTTAGGAGAAACTATGATCTTTAAAAAATTTTTTAAATGTTTTATTTATTTCTGAGAGCGAGAGACAGCGTGAGCAGGGGAGTGTCAGAGAAAGAGGGAGACACAGAATCAGAAGCAGGCTCCAGGCTCTGAGCTAGCTGTCAGCACAGAGCCCGACGCGGGGCTCGAACCCACAAACTGTGAGATCATGACCTGAGCTGAAGTCGGACGCTTAACCGACTAAGCCACCCAGGCGCCCCTATGATCTTTAAAATTTTAAGGTGAAAATAATTTAAATTTAATTTGTGGTATTAAATTTATAAAATAAATGTGTTGTATTTACATGTACAGTTCTGTGAGTAGTGGGATTATAAGGGATTTTCGTTATTTCCTCCCATGTTTTCATACAATGAATCTGTACGATTTTTATAATCAGAAGAAGCTTCCTGAAACAATTTTGTTTTGCCATTAGGTAGCACAGAGGAAAATAGTCATTCATGCAGAGAGACAGTCTGGCTGGGAATATTGAGGTCTAAGCAGGGTGGAGAGAGTTATTCATGGGTAAGGGGCCAGCCTGGCATGAGGAGCCAGAGCTCAAACAGCATGAAGCGGGCACATGGTGGTAGTTATCAGAGGCAGAGCAGATTGAGAAGGGCATCCTTGTGGGGGTAAGGCCTGCATTGGGTGGAGGCCATCCACACAGGGTGGTACCTGATACAGGGTGTTGAAACCTTGGCAGGGTGAAGAAGATGTCCATGTCCAGTGGAAGATAGCCTACCACTAGAAGTCAGAACCTGAGTGAGGTAATGAGGGCATCCCTGTGTGGGGAGTAGCTCAGCATGGAGAGTTCAGAATCCAGTCAAGGTGAAGAAGGCATCCATGTAGGGGAGGAGTCAGTGGCAACAATGAGAGATTGGTTATATACAAGGGGTTGATCAAATTAGTATATTAATGATAATGAGAATCAGAGTTCTTACTGTCAGTAAAGGGTGATACACAGTATGGAAAGGGAAAAACCCTGTGGTATTTTATTAAAACTGGAAATTTCAATGCTAACTCATGATTTCTGATAGATAGATGTATAAATAGGCACACACACATATACACATATATACATATGTACTAACATACTCTAACTCTACATGGTTTCAGAAGGAGGTGCTTAAAAAAACAAGTGATCAGAAGGATACAGAATCCAACTTGGAGAGACTCCCACTGGCCAAATCTGGTCCAATTTAAGCACTAAAATAAGGAGAAGAGAACTGATTATTATTGTATTGAATAAACTGAGAATTTCTGATTCCATACTGATACAAAGGAATAAATTAAAAGTTTAATAAGGAATAGGATATTCAAAGGTTTCAAAATACATTCCCACAAAATTGTTATCAGTTACAAGAAGATAAATAGGAATTGCACAATGGAGAAGCCTAGCATCATCTTGAGGGGACAAATTGAAATCGTGTACCTACCACCTGATAGGATGCAGTGAGAACACAGAGCCACTTCTGTGCTATTCTTGTCAAAGATGTAAAACCTGAATCAATTTGTGGAGAAACATCAGGCCCAAACTGAGGGGCATTCCATAGAATAACTGGCCTATGATCCTCACAAGGTCAAGATTATGGAAGTCCAGGAGAGATTAAGGAACTGTTCTAGACTGAAGACTAGAGACACAAACTCGATGAAACTCCTAATGCTCACTAAGCTGGGCCTTTGTGCTTTACAAAACATTTTTTTAAAAGTTTATTTATTTTGAGAGAGAGAGAGAGTGCAAGCAGGGGAGAGAGAGGGAGAGAGAGAATCCCAAGCAGGCTCTGCACTCTCCGTGTACAGCCCAATGTGGGGCTCGAACTCACAAACCGTGATATCATGACCTGAGCCAAAATCAAGAGTCAGATACTTAACCAACTGAGCCACCCAGACACCACTGACAGAACATTTTTTAAACAAATGGCTAAACTTGAGTGGGGTCTGAGGATTAGATAGCAGTAAGGTGTTAAAAGGTATTCCTGCTTTTGATGGTTGTATTGAGATTACCTAGAAGACTGTCCTTGTTTGTAGGAATTACACATTAAAGTGTTGGGCGTAATGGGTCATCAGGTTGACAGTTTGCTCTCAGTTCAGGAAAAAACTATTTGCATTGTAAGTAACTTTTAAGTTTAAGTGTGTGTCAAAAATGTTTAAATTATAGTAAAAATTTTTAATGCAAACATCAGCCAAATTTCAAATATAAGTATTATTTTCAATTAACAAGGAAATTCATAGGTTTAAAGTTAAAGATCTCTTCTTACTACTTGCTCTTAATATAATTTATTTATATTTTTAAAATATATAATTATTTAAGTAATCTCTATACCCAATAGGGGGCTAGAATTCACGACCTTGGGATCAAGGGTCATATGCTCTTCCGACTGAGCCAGCTAGGTACCTCTGCCCTTAATATAATTTTAAAGCATGCTTACTTAGAAAAGCCTTTAGGGGCGCCTGGGTGGCTTAGTCGGTTAAGCGTCCGACTTTCGCTTAGGTCATGATCTTGCGGTTCATGGGTTCGAGCCCCACGTCGGGCTCTGTGCTGACTGCCAGCTCAGAGCCTGGAGCCTGTTTCAGAGTCTGTGACTCCCTCTCTCTCTGACCCTCCCCTGCTCACGCTGTCTCTCTCTCTCTGCTAGAAATAAATAAAATATTTAAAAAAAATAAAAAAAAAAAGAAAAGCCTTTAACTACATAGTTTGAAATTGAAATCTGTATTTAAATTCACCCCATTAATAATGTCCCTTAGAGTTGGAGGAATAAGGATAGAGAAGATTTTATCATGATTGCATTTAATGTTTTAAAATTTGCTTTCAAGTTCAAGTGATCAAAGTTATTTCTCTTTTATGAATTATGTGTAAATGTTCCACTGTACCATCATCAGAAACCTAAAGTTGCAATAATAATAAACATTAATATTTTGCAGAGCAGTTTCACAACCATTATCTCATTTTATCCTACTAATCACATTCATTCATTAGTAAAGATAAAAAAAAGTCATTGCCTATCCTAGTCTCTGGAATTAGGTATTATTATGAATCTTACTTTATAGTTAGGGGATAGAGGGAGACACCAGGTTACCACTCTCAAGTGCAGGACGCATGATTCCAACTTGAATAATGCGACTTGAGTACTAACTAAAGCCTCCTGTCTTAAACTTAGAGTCACAGCTTGCCCGTAACTGTTATCCCTGAGGGCCTATTTCTTCATCAGCAAAATCAAAGCGTTGGACTCTATAATCTTCAAGCTCCAATCCAGCTACAAAACCCTAAAATTAAAAAAAAAACAACAACCTAAAATTCAAGCCATCGATAACAACAACAACAGCAGCTATAAAATGATTGGGAGTAACCTTAACTAGAAAAGTGTGTAACTTATATGGGGAGAAAACAACCTATAGGGAAAACAACCCTATAAAACTTTCCTGAGATGTTTTTAGTGACTTGAATACACAGACTTGCATATGTGTTAATTTTCCCACTCTCCTTTTTGTGTCTTCACTTTTAGCTCTATTAGTAAATAGAATTCAGGTGTGATGATTTCGTGCTTGTGAAAAAAAAAGTTTATTTAAGGAGGCTGAGTCATTATCAGATCTGCATCCTCTCTCCTGAGATTTTGGTTATTGTTCCAAGGAACCCTTTGTTCTTTTTAATGAGAGTAAAGACAGATGGGTTTAGAAGAGATTTTTTTTCCATTAAATGAATAGGCAGGCCACTGCTGCTCTGTATAGTTTAAGGCAGTCCTCCGGGAAACAGGCATTTACTTGGTTTTTCTTTAGTGGAGGGGTGGCGGCATTATTGATAGTATGAAGTTATATTTGATTGGCCTGAATTATATGGCACTAGGAGTGATATCTGTTTCTTCAGAGCTCAATGTAACAGCTCATGAGCACTTTTCAAAAGAGGAGAAAGTTATAAAGAAGAAGAAAAGAACATCACAGTGAGCATTTAGACAGTGAGACTGTTTTCAAACACATCTAATTCATTATATGCCTAGTAATGAAGACATCTTAATAGCAGAGAAAGCAGCCCCATTATCTACATGCTTCTATTAACCAATTTATTTTGTTTAGATCAGTGGGCAGAACACCATCTGTTACCAGAAATTTTCTTTTCATCAAGCCTGCCCCCATTAAGAGTCGCCAGTTAAGTAACTTCAGCTGCCCTCCGGTTTAATTTCCATAATAATTCAGGAGTACAGAGAGAAAGAGGCAGCTAAGAGGATATTGTAAATTGTACCATGCCCTCAGAGGATTTAGTTTGGTCGCCTCCTTGGCAAGAAGAATTAGTGGAAGGAGTTTGTGTGTGTTAGAGAAACAGTCTGAGGAGACGGAGGGGTAGAACGGACGGTGGAAGCTTTAAGGAAACAGTTAAGCAAGATTAGTTTTGAAAACTTTTTTTCTAATAGCTTTTTGGTGACTTTGTTTTTCTCCGAGATCTCTTTTACTAAGGTATATTTCAGTGATTTAGACACAGGTAGTGATAAGAATCCTTTTCCCTGGTATTCTTTCAGGACTACAAAACATGTCCATGTACATATTGGTATATATGTGTTTGTGTGTTTCTATGAAGTGCAACTAATATATGAGTGTTATGATTGTAAATGTTGGCACTGTGATGCTGAATTTTCGATTTTTATTCTACCAAAGGTCCATGACTCCAGCTCAGGCTGACCTGGAATTTCTTGAGAATGCCAAAAAGTTGTCTATGTATGGTGTTGACCTTCATAAAGCAAAGGTAATGATAACTTTGGCCTTTATTAATGAGTATGTATTAGACCTGGGTCATATAATGTTACCAACTTTCATCTGGGGTATTTCGAAACACTGAAAAAAGATAGTTCTTTTTAGAATTTTAAGTGTATAATTTGAATTGCCCCTTTGCAATCCCACCATCAGAATACAGTTTCACATCCAGGCCCCTCTAAAGATCAAAGATATAGCACCTAGAGCAGAAGTGATATTTTCCTAAAATGCAGATGCATTTGAAAATATAAATATGGCAGCCAACATCACCTACATCAGAATCACCTGGCACATTTACTAAGTATACAGATTCTCAAGCTCCTCCCAGATTTACTGAATTGCTTTGAACAAAACGCTAGATCTCCAAGCTTACTGAACATCTCAAATCACTCTTATTCACACCTGAATCTCACCAGGGAACCATTGGCTTAAGGTAGTGGCTCTCAAAGTGTGGCCTTGTAACCAACATTTAGCATCATCTAGGAACTTGTTAGACACATTTCAGGCCCCATCCCAGACTTGCGGAATCAGAAATACTGCAGGTGGAGCCCAGCAATCTCTGTCTGTAAGCTCTTTCTGTAAACTTTCCAGGTGATTCTAATGGACGTGGGATAAACCACAGTGGTTCATTTGGAAACTACTGGGTTAGGAATTGTAAACTTGAGCTTTAATGGTTGTTCTGCCTCATATAACCTAACAGAATATTTAAGGGAAGTTGCTTGATTTCTCTCGTCTTCAGCTACTGAAGTGGCTGAGGTTGGTGAGGGTGTGTGTATGTGAGGAATTTGTGAGGGAATGGGCTCAAGGAATGATATGAAGTTCATTTTTTTGTTTTTAGTTTTAAAATTAAAAAAAAATATTTTTTAATGTTTTTTTTTTTTGAGAGAGAGAGAGACAGAGCATGAGTGGGGGGAGGGGAAAGAAAAATGGAGACACAGAATCCAAAGAAGGCTCCAGGCTCTGAGCTATCAGCACAGTGCCCTATGTGGGGCTCGAACCCATGATAATGAACCAAGCCGAAGTTGGACACTTAACGGACTGAGCCACCCAGGTGCCCCGATATGAAGCTCATTTGGGGGAACTTAACTAGGATGCATAATGAGGGGGCTCAAAACCATGTCCAGTGAGAAAGCAAAGGAATAGAGATACTTAGCTCACAGAGGAGAAAGTTTAGGGAAGACATAGCACCTGTCTTTGTGTATTTGAAGGATAACTGTGTGAAGTAGACATTTCACTATGGCTCCAAGTATAAAGCTAGAGCTGGGAAAATGAAAATTACAGGGAAATATTACTCAGCTCGGTTTGACAAACTGCCTAACGGAGCTATTCTAAGATGGAATGGACTACCTCATTCCATAGCGAGTGTTCTGTCACTGGAACTATTCCAGGATCGGTCAATAATCTATTGGTAGGAATTTAGAAAAGGACATTCAAACATCTGCTGTGTGATTGGACTAATATGACCTTTCATGTTTCTTCCACCCTGAAAATCTGGTATCTGAAGATTTTTCATTCTTTATTAGGGTCTGTTAATTCTAATAAAATTTCATTGCATGTTAGTGTTTTGGGTTTTTGTCTTAAAATATTGCTCTGGATTGTTTTGGGCTGGGTACTTCTATGAATCTCTAAAATAGATGGTAGGAACATCAGAACTGAAATTGTTTGGTTTTGCTTCTCAGTTGATGCTGCAGGCTGATACCGATGCCATAATTATCAGGAATAGATGAAGAAGTCAGGCAGCATCTTCCTTTCCCAAATGTTGTAAAGCAAATTGTTTCTCCAAAACATATAATTAAGAGAGAGATGTAGTCATACCCACAGGCTTTAAGAATTTAAGAGGGCATTTTCTGGGAAATTCTCAGTTATATAGTCATTGAGTTGGGGCTGTTTATAATTTTTACTTCTCAGTTTTTCTTGTTCATAACACATATGGCATTAACGTGTTTCTCTATACTCATTTAGGGGAAAGGAGTAGTCACGAAACATTTAATACTAGGTTTTGATTACCTATATAAATAATTGTCTGTAGAGATGTATTCAGGTGAAATTTATTTTCCTTATTAGCAGACAGGGATGATTAATATATATTTAATTTTAAAATTTACTAAGGAGGCATGTAAATATGTCTTTATCCTATCTTGCTGTTCCCTCTTGACTTTGGGATAATATTTATAATTTAATATACTTAACATCAGTAACTACAAAAGTCTGGGATTCTCCATACTGAGTTTATGTAGGAAGATAACTCCTTTACTTATCATGATTTTGAATTTTTTTAATGTTTTATTTATTTCTGACAGAGAGAGAGAGAGACAGCATAGGCAGGGGAGGGTCAGAGAGAGAGGGAGATACAGAATCTGAAGCAGGCTCCAGGCTCTGTGCTAGCTGTCAGCACAGAGCCCGATGCGGGGCTCGAACCCACGAACCGGGAGATCATGACATGAGCCGAAGTCGGACACTTAACCGACTGAGCCACCCAGGTGCCCATACTTATCATGATTTTTGGATGAGTGGCCACATTATCAGAAAAAAAACCCAAGAATTATAATTGTGCATGTATATTTGCTATTAGACATAAGCCTCAGCCCTAGCCTCTAGAAGTCATGTGGTCTACTGACTTAAGCATACATGTACAGGACATAGGTAGCTACTGTAACTACCAGAGTAATTATTTACTGATTATGATAGTGACAAGTTTGAGTATTTTAGCCCTGGGAGACCAAAATAAGAACATGAATGTTTACCTTAGAATTTTCATATGCAGACAGGCCTGGTAAAAGTAGATTAGTGTCTCTTTTTAGATTATTAAGGAGCACCTTTTTGGAGGATACAGAGGCTCAGTTTTATGGGAGAAGTGTTATAAAGTTAGATGAGGTGCAAGCCCTCTGAAATTCCACAACAGCTTTGGGGAGTGGCAGTGGTGGCTATATTGTTCCTTACAGCAGTTAGTTCCTTCGGTGGGTAAGATGTGTGCATGTCTATGTTTCTTGGATAGGAGAAGAGCAGATGTTCACTCGCGGTGGGTGGTATAGGAACACTGTTAGATGGACTGAATAGTCCCCTGGATTCTGATTCTCGGGTTAAGCTTTACTTTTTAGTGTATGCTTTGTGTTTTTGGTTATTGATATCTTCAAGTTATCAAATAAGAGTCAGCAGTGTGTTGAATGCTTTGCTGAACACTGAACTGCTAACACTTTATTTTTCAGGACTTGGAGGGAGTGGATATCATCTTAGGTGTCTGCTCTAGTGGCCTTCTGGTTTATAAAGATAAGCTGAGAATTAACCGCTTTCCTTGGCCCAAAGTGCTGAAGATTTCTTACAAACGTAGCAGCTTTTTCATCAAGATTCGGCCCGGAGAGGTACATGATTCATGCTTCTTTCCTCCTGAATCAAACATAGACCATGTTGAAAATACCTTTTCATTCCCATTTTCCTTGTTACGTCATCTGAGAGATCTCTTGAGATACTTGGGTGGGTCAGTAGGTTGAGTATCTGTCTCTTGATTTCGACTCAGGTCATGAGCCCAGGGATGTGGGATTGAGCCTGGCATTGGGCTCCATGCTAAGCATGGATCTTGCTTAAGATTCTCTCTCTCTCTCTCTCTCTCTCTCTCTCTCTCTCTCTCCCTCCCTTTCCCTCTCCCTCGCCTTCCTCTCTCTCTCTTCCTTTCCTTCTCCCCACCCTCTCCCTGTCCCTTTCTCTGTCTCTCTCTCTCTTTCTCTCTGGCTCTGCCCCACTCTCTCTCTCTAAATGAAATAAGTAAATAAGCAGTCTCTCTGTAGCTTACTATTCAGGAGCTGATAATTGTTTTCTTTTTTTTTTTAATGCTTTTTATTTATTTCTGAGAGAGAGAGAGATCATGTGAACAGGGGAGGGTCAGAGAGAGAGGGAGACACAGAATTTAAAACAGGCTCCAGGCTCTGAGTTAGCTGTCAGCCCAGAGTCCAACGTGGGGCTCAAACCCATGAGCAGTGAGATCATAACCTGAGCCGAAGTCAGACGCTTAACCGACTGAGCCACCCAGGCGCCCCTGATAATTGTTTTCTAAATTAATCAGCCCCATGATGCTTCTTATCTTCCTTACTGCTGATCTTCTGGACATTTTTCTTTAAGGGAGTAAATATACCATGGCCAAAAGTGAATCTTGGATTGATAAACTTGTTTCTTGTTTACTCCAGGTAAAATCTTGATGGAAAAATATTTATAAATATTTATAAACTAAGTAGCAGGAGATTTTTAAATTGTGGGGTTAAGATACTCCTGTTTTGCACCACCTACACCTTACCTCATATAATTAAGATTTATTTGTATGTGTAGCTTCTAGTGGTTACTGAGAATGTATTCTAGGTCAAGTTCTAGATTTTTAGTAGAGTTGGATATTCAACTTTGTGCCAGACAACTCAGTTATTAGTTGGTGTTGAAGATTCAGGATGTACTAATGCTGGCCAAACTTAACTTTTACATTAAACAGCTATCATGGCACAATAAAACATTGTTTAAGAATTAAATTTTACAAAGTTCTACCTCCAACTCTGCCTCTACCACCTACTAAGCAAAATACCCAGGACAGTCTAAGGCTCAGCTTCCTTATCATTCAAGTGGGATAATACCTTCTCTGTCACGGTTGATTTGAAGGTCACATGAGATGACAGCTGTAAAAGCTTGAAACAGGAAAGCAGTGCACTAATGTAATGTGGCTTTTTGTGTGTGTGTATCACCATCTGCTGGTGAAAAATGGCTCATTATTTTAACTCAGAAACACTGGATGTGCAGCCTTAAAAATCTTGGATAAGCTCAATGAAGCATTTATTTAATACCAAAATGACTTACCTGTGCCTAACAACGAGAAATCAGTGTCTTCCCTCAAAAGTTTCAAATCTAAGAGTCATTCAGTCACCAAATATTTATTGAGGGCTTTCTTTGGGCCAGCAAAGAAATTATATTTCTAGGGTCTAGGAATATAATAGTGAATAAAAGAGTCTATTCCTAACCAATCTTACATTTTAATGCTTTTTTTTAAAGCATTTATTCATTTTTTTGAGAGACAGAAACCTGTCTCATTTTTGAATGCCACCTGTATAATGCATACTAAAACACAGGATTCTTTAGGAAAGCATTTACGAACAACAGTAGGATTTTGAGAAGTGTAATATGTCTACAGTAAGTGATCTAATAGTAACATGGTATAGTAGAAACTGAAAATCTGGTTCTGCCACTTACAACTATGAGACTGAACAGATAACTTCTCTGATCTTAGTTTCTTCATGTGTAAAAATATACATGACACTATCTAATCATAGTGTTATTGGCAATAACAGGCACTAAAATAAATGTCAGTTTCTTTTCCATCTTACAAAGTATGCATAAGATAGAAACAAAGAGGCAAAAGACTAGCAGGACAGTGTTTCTAGTATCCGTGTCAGGTTATAGTTTGCTTCAAAGAGATACTCAGATAAACTAGTGGTCAATCAAAGGAAAAAGATGACATTTAATAATTCAGGAATCTGGTTTGAGCCAAAATCTTTAGCTCCTATTACTAAAAATAATTGCAAAATAATATTGATTGATTGGAGGAATCATCTATCCCAATTCCTGGTCCCAAATGCAAACAGTGACTAAGGAAGAGTAAATAGTCTGGACAATCAAAAGGTGACTTAATTCTGTCTCAGAAAAATGTACACTGTGTGTGTGTGTGTGTGTGTGTGTGTGTGTGTCTGTCTGTCTGTCTGGGGGGGTGGGGATTGCTGAACAAAATAAGATGCATAAATTATATAAGCTGCATTCCCTGACTTCCCTGCTGTGGAAAGAGCCTTAAATGAGTAGATTTCTGTTGATAAGTAGGAAACAATTTGAAATGATACTTTCAAATTTCAACCAATTCTTTTATCCACATGCCTTCTTCTGTAACACCTTATTTCTGATATTGTATCATTTAGTCAAATAATCATGTTTCATGTTTATTCATGTTTTTATAGCAAGAGCAATATGAAAGTACCATTGGATTCAAACTTCCCAGTTACCGAGCAGCTAAGAAATTATGGAAAGTCTGTGTAGAGCATCACACGTTTTTCAGGTATTGTTCTCACTTAAGTATTTTTCAAGGATAAATTATGCACGTTTCTATTTTAAACCTGCCATTGAAATTCCCTTCTTTGTATGGCTGGCATTCTTCTATTGAGCTCAGGTGAGATCATCTTAAGCAAGACAAAATAAATCCAGTTCTCTTCCCTTGGATTGAAAACCATGTCTCATCATTCCCACAGCACCTTTCTGTGTATGATGGAAGGAGAAAAGAAGTGGGAAACGGAATCTGTATTTACTAGGGACTCTGTGATCATCTTACGAGCTAAATTCGGTCTGTCAGGGAGAAGTACCCTGACTTACCTCCACATGGGATTTCCTTAAGCAATGCTTAACTATTTTCTGTGGGGCAGGTATATTAGAAGGTGAAAGGTAGGAAGCTGATCACTATCTTGGCTCTAATCAACCCCAGAAAAGAAACACAGAGAACCACCTTTGAAGCCCAGTTGTATCAGATAATCAGAAGATGGGAGAAAGTTTAATCTGCTCTACTTTTCAAGAGGCTACATCATTAACCCCTTGTTGTCATTTACCAAACATTTTCTGTGCGCTTACCCTTTGTATAGGCACTGGAGTAGGCATTGAGAGTATACCACAAGATAGTTCTAGTCCTGGTCCTGGGGGGATAATCAGTCTAGCAGAGAAAACAGACCTTAGACAAGTAATTATCTGCATTGAAAGGAGGGTCATCTGGGGGCACCTGGGTGGCTCAGTCAGTTAAACATCTGACTCTGGATTTGGCACCATGTGCGAGATTGAGCTCCGAGTCAGGCTCTGTGCGCTGTTCGGCATGGGATTCTCTTTCTGCCCCTCCCCTTTTCCCCCACTCGCCCTCTCTCTCAAAAATAAATAAATAAACTTAAAAAGAAAGAAAGGAGAGCCAGCTAGTTATTGTCCCCTTGCCTTTTAAAGAAAATGTTATTATGTGAAACTGCATACATAGTAAAGAAAGTGGTATAATGAACTACCCTTGTACCTAGCTTTGTTATCTATCATCCAGCCTAAATATTATCACCTCAAGGCCAGTCTTGTTTCATCTGTATCCTACCCATTCCTTCCCACTCCCTCCCAGAGTGTTTTGAAGCAAATCCAAGATTCGTGTCACTTGGCTCTTTGTGAATGGCTCTCAAGAGAGACAACCATGATATCTTTTACTTCTATTTGCATCTTCATATCATACGTAGCACACTAGCACACTGGACAGGAAGAAAAAGCAGGGAAAAGAACATTTTAATTCTCATTGCAGAATAAATATAAAGATATACTTCATAACCAGTTAAGAAATCTTAATTATTGGCATTAGGATATTTCTCTGTGCTTTTATCATCCTCTTCCTTAAAACCAAACCAAGAATATAGAGTTTTTAAAAAGGGTAAGGGTGAGAAGGAGTTTTTTGAATGTTTGATATTTATGGTATAGACTTTAACTAGAGCCAAGTATTTAGTTGTAAGACAGCATATTTAAATCTGTTTTATCAAAAAAGAGAATATATTAATATGTGATGCCTCAGCAAACAAAAGAAAGTAAATATTTGCTGAATTAAAATAAACTAACCCAAAGGAAGAAAGGACTCTCTTTTTGGTAGTATTTGATATAGCAATTTATGTATTTATTCAGCAAACATTTATTGAGTGGCAAATTCATGCCAGGCATTATGCCAGGAGTGAAAACACAAAGGTAAATAAATCATAGTCTTTATCCTTTACCCATAGAGAGCCCACAGGCTTGTAGTGGAGACCAGCATATAAATAGATTGTTTTAGTTCAGTGTATGTAGTAAATGCCATGGCAAAAGAGATTACAGGTATAGCGCAGAAAGAAGATGGTGTTCCTAATTGTGTTAAATGCACCAAATAACCTATTAAATGGGTTAATAGGAACTAATTGAGTTTAGAGTGCATTTGACAAAATTATTTTTTTTCAAGATTTTTTTAAAGTATATTTATTTATTGGCAGGGGCAGGGGGGGGCGCTAAGAGGAGGAGAGAGAGAACCCCAAGCAGGCTCTGCACTGATGTGGGGCTCAGACCCATGAGCCGTGAGATCATGACCTGAGCCAAAGTCAAGAGTCAGATGCTTAACCAACCGAGCCACCCAGGCACCCTGACAAAATTATTATTTTAATAGAATGGAAAAAGTGTTCTAGGCTTGGACCCCATTGCTGCCCAACCTCTTTATAGCTATGTGATCTTAAAACAGTAACTTCTTTTTGGAAGTTCAACTTCTTATATCTATAAAATGGTGAAAATATTACACAGATGTAGTGGAAATATTACAGTGCTATAAAAGCACTTTGAAAACCATAAAGCCCTATCTATAGGGATATATGATGATATTATTAATATAGGCCACAATTAAATTATACATGTTGCTTTGAGAAATGACGTAGAATTATAAAATGATTGCTTGATTTGAATTGTCTTACTAATTGTAAGAAAACTATGAGTAATTCGTGATTTCTTTAATCTCACAGTCTCATTAGAGAGAAATAATATATATAATATAATTATGTTTTTCTCCCTCCCTAGACTGACATCTACAGACACCATTCCTAAAAGCAAATTTCTTGCACTGGGATCCAAATTTCGATACAGTGGCCGGACTCAGGCTCAGACCAGGCAAGCTAGTGCTCTGATTGACAGGCCTGCCCCACACTTCGAGCGAACAGCAAGCAAACGGGCATCCCGGAGCCTTGATGGAGGTTGGTATTGAATATTAATGGCTTCTTGCGATCCTAAGTCATTAGGGAGAGATGAAAGAAGTACAGTTATCTGTAAGGGAGCCAAATGAAAGAATCTCAGTGGTAAATGAAATGGATCTTACTAATTGTTTCAGTGGGGATCATCTTAAGTAAAGGAGACCTGGGGTTCAGAGAGAATAGTAACTAGATCAAGGTTCCACTGCTACATAATAGTGGATGAACACCACTAGAATTAGAATTCAGAGTCTTTACCACAGAGTGAACACCTAATGTAGTATACTAAACTAAAACCCTCTTGAATGTTTTTAAATAGTTATTTTTTCAAGCAGGAAAGAGGAAAAACGTCTCACCCACTAGAGCGGTGATTTATTTATTTATTTAAAAAATTTTTTTAAATGTTTCATTTATTTCGGAGAGAGAGAGAGAGTGGCACCGTGAGCAGGGGAGGGCCAGAGAGAGGGGGAGATACAGAATCCGAAACAGGCTCCAGGCTCCAGGCTCTGAGCTAGCTGTCAGCACAGAGCCCAACGCGGGGCTTGAACCCATGAACCATGAGATCATGACCTAAGCCGAAGCCGGACACTTAACCGACTGAGCCATCCAGGTGCCCCTAGAGCGGTGATATAAAAAGTTTAGATCAGGGGCGCCTGGGTGGCTCAGTCGGGCACCCGACTTCGGCTCAGGTCACGATTTCACTGTTTATGGGATCGAGCCCCATGTCGGGCTCTGTGCTGAAAGCTCAAAGCCTGGACTCTGCTTCGGATTCTGTGTCTCCCTTTCTCTGTCCCTCCTTCACTCACACTCTGTTTCTCTCTGTCTCTCAAAAATAAATAAACATTAAAAAAATTTTTTAAAAAAGTTTAGATCATTTGTCATATGGCAGTTAGAGACAGGAAAAACGGTTGTGTTATTAGAGTCTCTAAATTTTGTTTAAATAAAATAGGAAATACATAAGTTTCATGATTGTATATAACAATAAAAGATCTTTCTGAATTTTTCTGTCTCAAGGATTGAGAGTTATTACCGAAATAAAGTAATAAGCCATATTCATTATGTGGCTAATAAAAATTTCGGAAGGCAATAACCAAAATAGAGTATTGTTGATCCTGTTTATTAAGGACTCACCAGGACCCAGCTCTATGATATCTGCTGTAAAAGCAAGGTGCATGTTACAGAAGTCGAAGGTTTGGGTTCTGGAATCAGATAGACCTGGTTCCAAGCTCAACCTCTGCATTTACGATCTGTCTTCTTGGTCAAGTTACTTCATCTCCATGCCTCGGTTTTCTCATTTATAAAATGGGCATGACAGTAATATAATTGTGCCTTAAAGAGTTTTTGTGAAGAATAAATCAGATGATGTATACAGGGTACTTAGCACAATGAATGACACTTAATAAGTGACCACAAAATATTAGGTACCATTAAGACATTAATATTCTGGCCACACCATTATTACTTTGTTTCATATCATCCAAAATTATGCTGTCATATGTCCATACTGCACGATGGGAACATATATCAGAGACACCTTGCTCAGTTTAAGAGGAACCCAGAATGAGTCAGCTACACTTGGAAAAGAGATTACCCAAGCAGTAGAACTTTTATGCTTCCATATTGCAAGTCATACTTCTTTCTTCCTGATGTTTCTCTACTGTCCTGAGTTTGAAGGGGCTGTTTTAATGAAGAAGGGGAAAAGTGGTTAGAGATACATTTTGGAGATAGGCTTGACAAAATTACTGATAAATTAAGTGTTGGAAATGGCAAGGAAAAGAAAATCAAGATTTATTTCTAGGCTTGATCATTTAGTACAATGGGAAAGTCTAAGAGAGGAGCACAGCTGGGGATATGGGAAATCAAGACTTCTGTTTTAGGCATGTTAAGTTTTAGATATGATCACTCAATCCTTATGCCTGCCATATTTATATAACACCATCAGGCATCTCCTTCCTTGTCCAGTAAAATATCTCCAGTTTACCTTGAGTTTGTGGAGCTATTAACTTTTATTGTTTTTATCCCCAATTTTCAGTGAAAACACTGAAGTTGCAAAGTTTAAATGACTCATTCACTATCTCACAGATGGTAAATTACAAAGTAGGACAAAAACCTATGTTTGTCTGATACCATATCCCATGGCTTTTTCCACTAAATAGAAATTCTTCATTGTTTCGATACTATGCCTGATGTATCCTCTCTTTGTAATAGCAAAAATAACCTAAGACTCAAGTGTTAATGAGTTTTGGTATCTTGAACAATTTGGAAAGCTTTACTTATAGAGAGATTTATGTTACTTTTAGAAATCATATCCTGTCTCTATTTTTTTTCTAGCTATAGAGACCTCACAGTTCAAGACTTTAAAAAATCTTGATGTCTCAGGGCGCCTGGGTGGCTTAGTCGGTTAAGCGTCCGACTTTCGCTTGCATAGGTCATGATCTCGGTTCGTGGGTTCGGGCCCCGCATTGGGCTCTGTGCTGACTGCCAGCTCAGAACCTGGAGCCTGTTTCAGAGTCTGTATCTCCCTCTCTCTCGGACCCTCCCCTGCTCACGCTGTCTCTCTCTCTCTCTCCTAGAAATAAATAAAACATTAAAAAAAAATTTTTTTTTAAATCTTGATGTCTCAATTGACTAACATTAGCTAGTTCTTATTAAATTATACTTTATGTTTTTAGAGGGGAACTCTCAAAAATCATGTCTTCAAAATGCTGTAGTGATGGTTGAGATTCTAAAACGAAAGCATGTAAGACAATTCTAAAGGAAGATAGCTTTGGTGGCTTGACCATTAGTATCAGAGTTTTGGGACTTGGAAACAATTTTTGGCAATACTTTATTCCAGCCACCTAATTTTATAGAAGTGAAACCTAAAGCCTAAAAATTATTTGTCCAAAGTAAACAAAAGTAATTTGTCCAAAGAACTTATATCCTAAGTACAAACTTAGGATAGAATCCTGTACATTTTCTGGTAAGTCCCTTTTTACCTTCATATATTACATAATGCTTTCTTCGTATCTTTATATCCTGAGAAATTTTTTTTAAGATGCACAACTGCATCTCACATGATCAAGATGACTGGTCTTGATAATTACCACAATTCTTGTTACACTATAAGTGCTTAATAAATGAATGTTGAAAATAAGATTATCAATTTTTCCTGTTGAGTTGAATGTGAGCAGAATTTTATACTTCACTTTTTCTTTGGTGTTTTAAGTGCATTAGAATATCCTATTACAACTGCTGTCCCTCTCTTTAATTTCTTCCACTTGGGAGAAAAGTACTTTTTTGTTGTTGTTTACTTTTTCAAACCTTCACTCAAATCCTTGTAACCAATGAAGTTAAATACCTTTTCATAGTTCATAGGTCATTTGCATACATTGTTTCTGGAGAGCCTATTCAAATCTTTTGCTCATATTTTTATTGTGTTGTCTGTCTTATTAGTTAACGGGAGTTCTTTACTCCCTATCTCAGGGATAAAGCATCAATATTTCATAATTAGGTATGTTTGTTCTAGGGTTTATTAGCTACCTGTGATCCGATAAAGAAGTTTTCTTTTATTCCTAGTTTCCTGAGAGCTTTTATCATAAATGTATGGTGACTTTTAATTCATTGATCGGTATACATTTGACCTTTGAACAACTTGATTTTAAACTGCATGGAAGAACTGTACTTACACGGAGATTTTTTTTGATAAATACAGCATAGACTACAATGTATTTTCTTGATCTTATGATTATCTTAATAACATTCTTTTCTCTAGCTTACTTTATTGTAAGAATACAATATATAATATATGTAATATACAAAATATGTGTTAATCAACTGTGTTATCAATAAGGCTTCCAGTCAGCAGTAGACTATAGTAATTAAGTTTTGGGGGAATTAGAAGTTATATACAGATTTTCAGCTGCACAGAGGAATTGGCATCCCTAATGCCTGTGTTGTTCAAGGGTCAGCTGTAATAATATGATTTTTCTCCCCCTCTATATGATGTGGTGGATTACACTGATTAACTTTCAGTCGTTAAACCAACTTTATGTTCTTGGAGTAAATGCAATTTGATTATAATGTTTTTCTTAGTATATTATTTTAGATTTTTTTGTAACTATTTTCATAAGTGAGAGAGGCCTGCCATTTTCTTTTCTCATGATGATGTCAGGCTTTAGTATCAAGTTTATGCTGGTCTCATAAATCTCTTCAAAAAACTAACTTTTGTGGGGGGTTTTTTTGTTTTTTAATACTGTATATATTCTAATTTAATTTATGGCAGTTAAAATCTTCATTATTTTCTTTCTACTTTATTGAACTGTAGTTTTTCATTTCTTGAAAAGGATACCAATTGCTGTTATTTCTTACAACCTAACCTTAGAGTTAAATGACTTGCCTAAGGTCACATAGCAACAAAATTAGTAGAGTCTAGGACTGTTCTCCCAGACCCATGTTTTTTACTCTTCACCATGACAACTGTTTTTTTTTTTTTTTTAGAAGAAAGAGAATAAAAATATGAATAATCATTGAGTGCTTAGTATGTTCCAGGCACTGTTCTAAATATTTTACCTATGGTACTATCTTTTAAGCCTCTGAATTATATATAAGCTGAATAGGACAATTTTTTCTTAGTTTTGTTACCAAATGTCTTTTTTTTCCTCTGTGTGCTGTCTTCTTAGTACAAGAATTAGAAACAGGTCTACGGAAACTAGTTTTCCTTCATTTTCCTAGATCCTTCTAGGAATCTCAAGAGAGAAATCTTCCCTGTTAGACGCCTCCGTATGTATATGTATAGATGTATGTGTGTGTATATATATATATACCTCTAAGCTAGAGATGGAAACTTTTACAAGAATTGTTTTATAAGGGGCCTCACTTTAATGATAGGAACAAACACTCGCTTTTTTGTTATATCTGGTGCTCAGAGCATCTGCTTCACCAGCTGAAGAGCTAAAACTGGTTCAGATCCCAGTTTATACGTTAGAGTGGTAAGTCATAAGGATATCTAATAATGATGACAAAGACTTTTCAGCTTATAGTGATGTTCCACTTTTTGCTTTTCAAACCATTTCCATATATTCCTAATTAGTGCCAACAACCTAATGAACAAGAAGCATTTAGGAATTCTTGGTTTAATCATGAGGAAGCTGGGCACAAAAAAAGGTTTTAACTTGCTAGGATCATACAGCTAGGCAGTTCATTCATTCGGTGGGTCATGGTTGCAGTGATTCTTGCTGGGGGGTACACTGGTATCATCTTTAGAGCTTTAAAGAAAAACAGGTACCCAAGCCTTACTTTGGGATCCCTCATCTGTCTGTGGTGGACCTGAGCATAAACTGTTTTTTTTTTCTTAATGTTTATCTATTTTGAGAGACACAGAGAGAGAGAGAGAGTGTGTGTGTGTGTGTGAACGTATGAGCAGGGGAGAGGCAGAGAGAGGGGGAGAGAGAGAATCCCAAGCAGGCTCCACATTGATTACACAGAGCTTGATCCCACAAACTGCGGCACAAGATTATGACCTGAGCCAAAATCAAGAGTCTGACGCTTAAGCAACTGAGCCATCCAGGTGCCCCCAGCTGTATTTTTTTAAATTATTTTTCAAGATCAGCAGCTGGTTTATGTGGGCCCTCTGATAATGAAACCACTGACCCACTGCATACCTATGGTGTCTATACCTTGCTGACAGAAATTGTGCTAGTCAGTAACAGAGCTAGATCTAAAATTTAATTTTCCTCTTATTCAATATGATGGCTTTGAGTTTTGCTTTTCACTGCTCTAATATATAACTGTCCTTAAGTTTTTGTTGGTTTTAGACAAGAGCAATATAATATTGGAATTAATGGGTCCATAAGATTATCACAATGCTCTTCTTTGTCTAGACATTCAGAAATGGGAAATAGTTGAATTTTTAAAGTTAAGTGTTCTCTATACATGCACCTAAATCTTATAATAGCTAACAAATGAACTCACAAAACTGAAGAGCCAAAACATCTAAAAAAGTAATCACTACCCTCAATAGTGTAAATATATTAAAAAGTATTGGATTATACAACTAAATGGATGAATTATGTGGGATGTGAAGTATATCTCAATAAAGATGCTTTAAAAAAGCAACAGCCAGGGTCACTACCATGATTCTCAGTTGCGATCCATACTTTGTAGCCTTTTTTTTAATGTTTATTTTTGAGAGACAGAGCATGAGTGGGGCAGGGGCAGAGAGAGAGACACACACAGAATCTGAAGCAGGCTTCAGGCTCTGAGCTGTCAGCGCACAGCCCGATGCAGGACTCGAACTCACGAGCTGTGAGATGGTGACCTGAGCCAAAGTCAGACACTTTGACTGAGCCACCCAGGTGCCCGTGTAGCCTTTTTATTGAGAAAAGGAAAGGAATTTGCCTCTCTCCAGGGCTCCCACGTGTGCTATCTTCCACTTGCATTGCATATCAGTGTGTGCATAACTAATTTTTACCCAACATACTGGTGAGCTATCAACCCATAACAAAAAAATATAAGGACTTAGAGATATGACATTAAAAGTTATTGATATTTAGCATTTTTAAAGTATTTTTATATCCATTGAGTATGGCTTCCCTAACTATTCTATAGAGTTAATATCTTCCACATTTTACAAATGATGAAACTTTATGCCTCTGTTTCTGACTGCCAGTTTCCACACTTATACCTACTTTTCCACAGACAGTACAGATTGCCAGAGCTAGGAAAACTGAAGACATAAATCATTTGGCTCTGCAGTATTAGTATTGGATTAAAACCAAATGCAAGTGGCAAAATAACACATGGTGAAAGCATGGGCTATGTTTCTATGATGCCAGGCAGAGTTGAATTAATTCTTTGAGAGGAGGTGTGAATACACATGTATAATGATAGTTTAACACAACTGTGAGCAAAATATTTTGTCACATTCCCCTGTGTTGTTAGATTTGGTCTGCCATCTGCCATTCTTACATTGAATAGTTTAGAACACCCATTAGTAGCAAGGACTTGAAAGAGGCCGCAGAGTTTTCTCCATTGAAAGATAGATGATTCTTATGTTTCTACTGTTTTTCCTACGTATCATCTGAGGAATGATTTCTTTCACTGGAGATCATTACAGGGTAACAAGCATTTTTTTCTTGGTGTTGTGTGTGTGGACACACTCAATTCACAATTATTTTGCCCAGTGACTTTGAACTAGACTGAAATAGACAGTGACTCTTGCCTTCACTTAGTCTTTCCTTTCTCCTTTCTCACATAGCAGCGGCTGTTGACTCCGACCGAAGTCCTCGGCCCACCTCTGCACCAGCCATTGCTCAGAGTCAGGGCACAGAAGGCAGTGTTCCAGATGCATCTGTCAAGAAAACCACGGTCTCTAAAGCACAGAAGGAAACAGTGAAGTTTGAAGTGCAAAAAGAAGAAGTGCCACCAGAGCAAGCAGACCCAGAGCCCACAGAAGTGTGGAAGGTATGTCCTGAGTCCACATACCTGGCTCGTTCACTTCCTGACTCAGACCAGTTAGCTCCTTGACCAGGAAGGTTTTCAAAGCATCGATTCTTGTACACTTCTAACAAAGTTATTTCTTCTTTATTCTTTCTGAAAGAAAGTCTTCCCCATGAACCTGTAAAGTATTTTCATAGAATTACATCACGAAGCCTAAGTCATCCAAGAAGTTTTCAGGTGACCTACCTACACCTAACTTACATCTAAAAATAAAAAAGATGCATCTAGAAAGCACACCAGCACTGTGTTCACCTGCTTGTAAAAATAATTTTTACTCATCCAGCAAGAATCTCCACATTCTTTTTTAAGAGTAAGCACTGCTAGAACAAATTGAGGGTTGCTAGAAGGTTTGAGGGGGTGGGCTAAACGAGTAAGGGGCATTAGAGAGGACACTCATTGGGATGAACACTGGGTGTTATACATAGGGGATGAATCACTGGAATCTACTCCTGAAATCATTATTGCACTGTATGCTAACTAAATTATATGTAAATTTAAAAAAAAAAAAAAAAAGAGCAGGCTCTGCTAATAGGATTAAAATATAACTTGATTTCCTAAGAGGAATAAGTGTGCAACATACCCAGAGAATATCCTAGTATTACCTAAAGCACATCTACGTGGTTGTTCAAATCAAATTGCTTACAAAAAGGGGAAGATCCTTATGTAGGAGAGGTTATGCCACTGAGTTGCTTACAGTTCTGAGTTGATTGTACCCACAGTCACTGATCTTGTTTAAGAATCACCAGTTAGCAGATTTCCCAGGACTAACAGTAAATGGACTGATCTTTTATGTGTTGATCAGCTTTTTAAACACATTTAAGCAGTGATAGAGTTGAAGTGTTCAGATTTATTGACACAGATACAAGTATCACTGTTGACAACAGGAAATAATAGAGGTAGTTTTTACATGTCTATTAAGAAATTTAAGCACTTACCTTAGTAAGTGCTCTCACCTTGGCAGATGGATTAATCCTGTTCTTTTGGAGCCAGTTCAATATCTAGTTTCTCTGTAGAGCATTGGACAATCTGGCTCTGTTTTGACTGTATTTGAAAAAAAAAAAAAAAACAACTGTTCAACATGACATGCCAATTTTACTGTCCTCTGAGACTAACTTGAGTCCAGAGAGAGAAAAAAATTGAGTGAATGGTGGATATTTGCATTTTTTTACCTAGACAAATATATATGACATATCAATATCAACAGTGCCTTTTTAACACTAGACTACTTTAGGGTTTGTTTGGTTTTTTTTAAGTTTATTTATTTATTTATTTTGAGAGAGAGCATGCAGAAGTGGAGGAGGAACAGAGAGAGAGAGAGAGAAAGAGAGAGAGAATCTGAAGGAGGCTCCACACTGTCAGAGGACCTGATGTGGGACTTGAACTCATGAACTGTTAGATCATGACTTGAGCTGAAACCGAGAATTAGATGCTTATCCAACTGAGCCACCCAGGTGCCCCTAGACTACGTCAGTTTTTATTGTTAGGATATCTGGCACTTTTTACTATCCCTCCATTTGTTATACTAACTGGGAAGTATTGGATTACTGGAGTTGGCAAAGGAATCCTTTTGAGGGGTTAAGATTCTTTTGGTGTTCTGCTAACTTACTTGTTCTTTAACCTGTAAGTTAGACACCTGTATCTTCAAGAATAGGTTTCCTTTGCTCTTGGGACCTTGGCAGAGTGGCAACATCACTTCCTGGTATGTGCTTCCCATTTAAGTGCCACTAGGTGGTTTTCTTGCCGATGAATTCTGTATCCATATATGTTTTGAGATGCTTGTGTAGAGATCAGACTGAAAACTACCTCTAATAAACTTCCATTACTGTAATAGTAGTGACAGAATTAAGGGTGACTGACTCTAAGTTGATTTTATTCATAGTAATAGAAAATATGGAATTTACCTGAAGCTATAGTTATGATAGAAAGCAATACTAGTAATAAAATAACCTTGTAACTCTATAAATTGCATTATCTAACATGAATTTGGTGCCAGATGGAGGTAGCTTTTTGGCATCTTGAGTTATTTGACAAGACCTATTGCTGTAATAGTACCTCTCCCTGTGTACACTTTTATCTCATTTAATATTCTCCCAAGGGGCATAACTTGCTACTTGGCCTTTACCCTTAGACTGAAGTAGAGGTTCTCAATTTCTTGCTGTTGGATTGCTAAGGACCCAGAGCAAAAAATTATTATTCATTGAAACAAGTAATTTAAGCTTTACAAAATAATTTTGAATTAACCATTTGCCTAACATTTACAACTCTATGGAGATATTATCTCCATTTTATCAATAAAAAACAAACTCAGAGAGGTGAAATAATAACTTGATAATGACCACACAGCAAATATGATGAGATTTATAGTAGAAATGACCCAAATTGTCACTTGTCCTGGTAGTTAAAAGTACTATAACTGGATGTGCTTATGGTTTGACAGTGCACAAAGTTTGGTGTTCTGTGGTCTACATTCTGTCCTAGGGAAAATAGCACAATGACATCGTACTCCAAGGGAATGCTGCCAAATGTGATCAAAAGAATGTGTCGAAACCACAGATTGGTGAGGTTCTGTAAAGAAGTTAATGATACAAACTGATTGATTTGATCCTTAATAGAAAGTTTTCTAATTTTGAAATATCTACTGCTTTAGGCATTGCGCACTCTAGAATACTTCCTCTTAGTAGTCTGTCTGCGGTTTTAAAATTTGTGCTCACTCCATTTGGGGTCTATAAAATGACTATTACCAAAGGTATTTCAAAGGTAGGCAGGAGGACTTAGTTATTCTCTTCCTATTATTAAGGATGAATCTTGTTCATCCACCAAACACATGGGCTCCGGCTCCCTGGAGAGGAGATTACAGCGCTGAGTGTTGCAGCTGAGCCCTCCATGTGCTTATTTATAAATCAGCCTTGGAAGTGATTGCATGCATAAGTAACAGTTTGGATTGAGTTTATTTTGATGTTTTGTTGTCTAATAAACTCAAGGGTGAAACTGTCGCCTTAAATATATTGATCAACTAACAATTTTTTTTGTATCTACCTGCTTTGTGTCACATGTGGTTTATTATATGTGTGCTTTAACTGTAAAGATTTTCTTTTTGTTTCTGTCATGTATGTAGTACCTTGATATCTTTGTTTGTAAATTTGTTTTTAAATGTTGAAATACTTCTAAATCATAAAAAAAAGCAAAACAAAAACACATGCCTTATTTAAGCCCAAATTACTCTTTGTAGAAGTACTTTTTTATAAATAAGTATAAAAATGTTTCCTTCATCAACAGAATAGTTATCTTAATTTTCTTTTATGACCCCTTAGCTGTCCATATTACTTCTTCAGCCTTGAAAATATGATGCTGAACTAACAGATTACTGTTGAGAGTAATGTCCTTCCCTGTAAAACCCCCATAACTCTGCATCATGTTGATTACATATCAGCTTATTTTGCAACCAGCTTAAAGATGCGGCTTATTTGTAAATAATGCAATTCATAGAAACCTACTAACCTAAAATGTTTTTACCACTTTATTTCTTAAATGTAGGTGGAAAAAACCCACATCGAGGTCACAGTACCTACCTCAAATGGTGACCAAACACAGGTTTGTGCCAGTAGGCCGCTTGTTCCTTTTCTCCTCCCTCCTCAATTTTTTCTCCCTCCCAACTCCCTTTCCTAAAAAAATATTATAAAATAAAGGTTCAAACAAACTTCAGTGAACCAATATTTCATCATTTTTCTTTTTTTTTAAATAATGGCAAAACAGAAGCTGGCAGAAAAAACTGAAGATCTGATAAGAATGAGGAAGGTCAGACGTTTTTCACTTTCACAAAACTACATTACCATCACCGATGCTGCCTTCTACAGTGCATTAAAAAGACAGTGATCCGTTCCTTTCATTGCTTTCTCTTAATCAGAAATTACTTACAAATAGTAGATCTATATTTGTGTATGTATATGTATTTGCATATACTCACCTGCATATGTATATCAAAGAAATTATTATCCTATACTATTTGTTGGATTTTTTCATTAAAATAAACTTTCTAGTGGGAAAATATCTTTGTAAACACAATGAAATAATTATTTCAAGACCAAAATAATTACTCAAAATCAAACCTGTCCTTTAAACTTTATAAGAAATATTTCACAGTGGCACCATATTTGGAGTCATTGACAATATTTGATGCATATTTACTATGGAAATCATCATAGCAGCACCTCCTGGTATTGTTACTAGCTATGTGTTTTGCTGCTCTGTGTCTCTTCTTCCCAACTATAGAGTGGGATATATCAGTTCATACAGAATGGAATATTGACTAATCATGTATAAAGTGCCCTTAGAGCTCTCGAATGAAAGGTGTTAGAAGAATACATTTTGTGGTATTACTGAGTATGAAATATGTCTAAAAAAAGGTAAATAATGTTTTAAAGCATTTTTCTGTGCCATGGAATTTCAAAGCTCCTTAAAGTCATCTATTTCAAGATAACCCTCAAACAGCTCAATTTCAAAAATGGACATACAACAGCTTATTACGCAAGAGGCCAATGAAGCCAGGAGCACTGTCTATTTAAATGACGTCACCATATTCTTCCATCAATCATGGACAGGGTCATCCATTTTCTAGTGCTAATGTGTTCTGTGTGTGTCCTTGTAGTTTTGTGACCATTTCATGTTGGCATATGCTGTGCTGTGGACGTTTAATTTTAAATATTTTTTTGGTTTGCCAATTTGCAGTTTTTTCCCGCAAGAACAACATTTTAATTTTTTATGCTTTTCTGTTTTTCCCTCTTTCATTTTCACAGAAAAAGAGAGAGAGACTAGATGGTGAAAACATTTATATCAGACATAGCAATTTAATGTTGGAGGTTTGTATGAACTTGAAGCTTATTTCAGTTGGTTGCCTGTAGTCTTCTGCATTCTTCACTGATTTCCTTACTTTATGCTGTGTTTGGTTTTGCATGCCATTGCATGAAAGAATTTTAGGTTTAAGTGCTTTTGCATGTTGGTAAACATGAAGATATGCAACCATCTCTCCTTCTGGCTCTTTTTAGTTTCCATCTGTCATACTTCTCTAAAAAATATATGATTGGGACTCCCTCTGCCTCTTGCGGTTCCATTATTTTACCCATTTATAGAAAATTCTACATCACTGTTAAAAGTTCCTTGAATTTTCCAAGAGTATAAACTCCCATATGTCACAAGCATCAAATTTTCACAAATGTTTTCATCTTCTGAACTCTGAGAGAGTGTGGAAAAGTAGGAGAACTGATCACAATTCAAAATGGACTTAAAATATTGGGGATACCAGAAAATGACAGGGCAGTCAGGGGAAAAAAAGATATAGAAAGGAAGGAGGGGATCTGATATTTAATAAATAGTTAGTATGATACAAGAGAGTTTAATTACAAAAACAGGTCTATGGGCATAGGATTATAATTTTGAAGATAAGAAAATTAAGACATAGAGTAATTCATTTCCCTGTGGTCACAAAGCTAATAAATTGGTAAAGCTAGGATTTGAGTTTTGGGTCTATCTCTATTAAACTATATTTTTTCCACTCAGAGATAGCAACATACTGTCTGCTATAGGAATGGTAAGGTCATTTTCTCATTACATTCCACAGCGATAAGATTTTTACCAGACTTATATTAGTAAAATTACCTAGTTTGGGCTCCACATTGGAAAGGGAACTATAAAACTACTTAGAAGATCAGGGAAACTCAGAGGAAAATGAGGAACATGGAATTATAATGTGTAGAAAAAACTGAGGCTACATTAGTTTACACATCACAAAGACTCTTATAGTTGACCTGATTATCTTACAATTTTGCTCAAGACAGAGCCAAAAGAAATGGGTATAACTCTGATATTGGGGATTTAACTTAAATTTGAAGGAAATATAAATATATTGAAAGATGATAAAGGAAGTTGGTCCCTGCCTTCAGGAAGCTTAACAATGTGTGAAGTATGGAGGAGAGAAACAATAAACAAGTAAACAAATAGAGATAATTTCAGGTTGTTATAGAAGCTGTGAAGGAAATAAACTGTATGCTGTGCTAAGAAAGGAGATCTACTCTGAATACGATGGACAGGGAAGTTCTCTCTGAAGAGAAAACGTATTAGCTGAGACCTGAAAGATGAACATATTTGGAATTTGGTAAATATTATTAAACTGTAAATTTAAAGAGACTTTTTTAGATAGATCTCTGGTTTAATATAATGACCTCTAATAGTTACTTAACCTTGTCTTATTTTTTGTCAGAACATGTATTTTTGAGTGCTAGCTATGTATGTATAAGGTACTTTAATATAAATAATAAAAATTATGGCCAGCCTTCAGTAATCGTTTACCAGTGATGGGCACAATACCAAATGCTTTACATACATTTACCTCACGTAACATGAGACTTTTAAAGTCTGGACACTAGGATATTTCGCAACTAGATCTCATTGCTTTTGCCCATAACTGAAACGAAGCAGACCTAAACGGTTCTGCTTCTGAGACTAGGAAGAATTACAGATGTCAGTTGATGTCCTTGTACTTGACAAGGTAACATTTCCCGCTCCCAAACATTACTTTTTCTTCACGAGGCCATCTTTAGTGCTTCCTCTTGACTGGAACCTGCAGTACCAATCATATATTTGTCATTTGTTCAACGAGGTGTGTTATGGCTTCTGAGATTCACAGAATCCCTGTGTGTGGTGTGTTTTTTCCCCCAGCATTTCACTGACAACCACAAGAGGGAATTTCTAAATAAGTGTGTGTTTGAAAATTAAAACTACTAACTACTTTTTGAGAACATTTTATATTTAATGGTTTGGTTTGGCTGCTGCTAAAATTATAAGATGATAAGCATCAGAAAGCTTCTAGCCTAAAAACAGCCCAAATGATTTGGCTGACCGTTATTCTCTAGTTAGGGTAAAAAGTTTATTTGTCCCTCCCCCTCCCCCCTGCCCGCCCCAAGAAGGAAGTTCTCCCAAGTTATCTATCACTCTAGCTGGGTTTTTTTTTTTTTTTTTTTTTTTAGGGCATCTCTCCTCCCCCTACTCCTACCCCACCCCCACTAATGCTTTGTTCTGGCCAAATAAGGTCGAGTTCATTTTTAGATCTACCGCCTCCTCCTCCATCTCCCAGAGAGAACCTGTAGCAAGTGTCTATGACAAATTCTATTTGGAACAGGTCCCTTTGAGATCTTAATTTTACTCTGTGCCCCCACAGGTTTCTAACAGAGCCAGCTAAGAAGGATGGAGAAAGCTCCTTCAGAAGCTGCTGATTTTATTGAAACATTTATTTTCTCAGGTTCCAAGCCAACCCAAAACTAGGCAAGAACAACAACAAATCCCCACTCTCATATTAAGAGGCTAACCTAGAGAGTTACAGTTGTACCGCAGCATCTCTTGCTCATTTTTGTGTTGCCTCATTCATACTTGTAACTCTCTCAAATGTGTTAAATTGTTCTTCAACCAAAGCAGATTTAATTTCCAGTTAGGAGCTGGGTCACAGGGCCTTACATGCCTTGTGGGCCTCAGTTGCTCAACCCGTTACTGGGTCTTTGACCAAGCTTGTTCATGCTTTAATTTAACTGGTAAACATGCTTTTCTTGCTTTCAGCTAGAACAAAAGCGCCCACTGTTTCCCCATGGTAAAGCCCATATTCATGGGCTATACTCACATTTTATGCCAACAAGCAAGAGGTACTTTTATGGGGAAGCTACAGGATTGCCCTTTTGGGATTAGTTTCCTCTGATCTCAAAACAAATATAGATGGTTTAGTCTTGCAAAAATGAAAAGTATAGACTTAAATGAATTTTCTGAGTGAATATCTCCAGAATCAAAATTATGTCGTGTGCCTCGCCAGTTCTTTCTCCTATGCTATTTTCTCTTTGACATTGCTTTTGAAAAAATTTTATTTAGATGAAACATACATTGCTCCAGAAAAATTTTTCAAACAGATTTTTATTTAAATGAGTTCCAGGGGGGTTTTTCCCAATAAAGGAATGACTAGTCCCCAGATTCACACAGCATATTAAAAGATACATTTAATATTATGCTTTTCTTGGATACAGAGCTGCTGTGATGTATAATAAACACAGAATTTTTAGCAGTCATCAAGTGACAGACTCCCACATATTTTGATCTCAAGCATAGATCTTCTGAGGTTTTTTTTGGAGAAGTATGTTGGACAAAAAACATTTGAGTTTTTGTCTTCAAGTTGTATTTCCCTTTTTTTTTCCTTGCTAAGTCTACCTTTGGAAAATTTTATATGCCTCCTGTTACATAAACCTGAATGCTATTTCTAGCTTTATTAACCTTAGTTTTGATCTTTTGTCTCTGGAATATCCCATTTAAGAGCTTGAACCTAGTTTCCAGTATTCAAATCTGTTGGAACAGTTCAGATATTTTAAATTGTCAAGGAGATGTATAAAGTATTTGATGAATCCTTGTTAAATCACTTCCAATCCATTGAAAGTTACTGGAAGGAGGTCCCTACTTCGAATTATACTAAGGGATGAAGTAAAGCTCTCAGAAGCTGGAAGGCATAAGGCTTTTAGTTTGCATGAATAGTATTGGTAAAGAAAAAAAGCCATTACATTATATACCCAAGTGATTTTTCAGAGGCAGTAACAATTTGCTCTCAAGGATTGAGCCAGGAACTCTAGTAATAAATTCTTACAACAAGAAAGAGCTATTCTAGTTTATGAAGACCAGCAATAGCCACCTAGTAAAAGGGAAGCAATACTATCTCCAGGTACAAATAGAGGGATGCCATATGGTTGCAACTCACAAAAGCAAAGCAGCCAATGGTAGCAGTTGGCATTTTTTATTATGTCCTTCTCTTAACAGATTGTTCCTTATATATTGCTGTCTCCATCCTGCCTGAGCTGAGCCTTAATCAGTTCCTATCAAGCTGAGGCTAATTGAGCTGTGAGATTACCTTCTTGGGATGAGGAGTTGGAGAGCTAACACTGTGTCATAATGGAAAGAAAAGTTGTAAAATTAAGGAGTGAGATCCATGGGTTACATAACTGCTAAAAGCTGTGGGGTTATGATACTTTACTGCTTCCAAGAAAAGCACCTCATTAAAAAGAAAAAAAAAAAAGGCAAGCCAATATACCATGTTGCATATTTAAAATTTGAATGCAATTTATGGATTAGTAACATCTGCCCTGGATGTGGTGTGTTTTCTACCAGTGCCCATAGTCTGATGGGCTTCTCTTGATGTGTTCTTTTCTCTTGCGTATTTATTGTTTCGCATCTTTGTCCTTTCAACTATAGGATTTAGACAAAAGTCAAGAAGAGATAAAAAAACATCATGCCAGCATCAGTGAGCTGAAAAAGAACTTTATGGAATCTGTACCAGAACCACGGCCTAGTGAATGGGATAAACGCTTATCCACTCACTCCCCGTTCCGAACACTTAACATCAATGGGCAGCTTCCCACAGGAGAAGGAGTGAGTACTTTGTCCATGTGACCACTTGTGAGAGTGAATGAAATCAATGTTTTTGTGTATTCATGTTCTGTATCTGAAAGTAAGTTTAGAGCTGAAATTGAGTTTTGGTTCCTCACCAGTCCATTGCAGCTTTAAGGCATTCATAATCAAACACTTGTTTTTTAAGTCCTTTGAGCTACCCAGTCGAATTAGAAGAGCCATGTAGAACTACCATTAGATGATCAGGCTCTTGAGAACTCCCTACTTCTGGCTAGTGTGTGTTTACAAATTGACCATAAGCCAGTGGAACTTTATGTTCAAACTATGTCTCCAAGGACCAAAGAGTTTACTAAATTTAGTAAGGTCAAAACTGGAACAGGATAAACATTTTTTTTAAAACTTTATTTGAACATTTGCACAACTTAGAAATGTCTGGAATGGTTGACCACAATTATATAATAAACCAAGGAGGCCCCTAAGCTAGAGAATGCAGAACACCACATACCAGTGATTGTATTTGAATTTTAGATAAACCGTTGACGATTTATTTTATCTTTATGAATCACATCAAACTTTTAACCTGTTGTTTTGTAAGATAATCACAAGTAGAAGAAGTGAGAGATACCTTTCAGAGGCTGTTCTTTTTAGGTTATTGTTGTCATTACCTATCTTAGAAATCCTATACACTTGACTAAATAAATCTGTGAAATGGAATGTCTTTAAAGTTACCATAAGCATATATTCAAAAACTCTCTACTTAATCTTTAGCCTATTCAGGTTAATGTTTATATAAATAGTCACAATGACTTAATGAGAGTTATGATGATTTTTAAAATTGTATGCTTGCTTTTTGCCAAAAGCGATAGCAATTCTAGTTGAGAAAGGTGGTGATGTCTTAATTCCTTAAAAAAAAAAAAAAAAAAAAAACCTTGTTTTTATATTCAGAATTCATGGTAAACTATCCAAGTTTGTTTAGTTTCTGGACCTGGAGAAGATGATAAAAGCTGTCTCACGAAGGGTAATTTTTATATTTTTCAAAATGTGATTGAAATAGACTAACAATTCACCAAGTAAGCCTGGAGAATTCCCGATTATGAGTATCTGGTTACTGGGGGTGACAAGAAGCAGTTGTCCTTACTGTCCTCTCGGCCTCCATTCCCTGATATAAACGGACATCCGTTTTGTATCCTAAATCTAGAAAATGTACCCTGAACTGAGACAGTGACTCTGCTTTCTACAAACGTAGACTCTAGGGGAAATGCCTTATTGCTGTCAATGCCTGGTTAACCCTCTCCGTAAACCATGACTGCATATTTTCTAAAAGTTTTCTTTTTGATTCTGTGGAAGTAATAAAAGATGCTCTATTACTTCAAAAAAGTAACTTAATAGTCTCTTGGATGAAGTTTGATAAATTTGAATCAGTCTCCATTTCCAGAAAACATCTTATATCTTAATAGAAACCCTCCAGAAATCACCTCAGGGCTCACTGGAAATGGGTATGTCATTCTGTGGACTTAAAGAAAGGACTTTTTATAAGTTAGATGAGTGGAGAGTACTTGAGCCACTTCAGCTCTATGCTTATGTATATTACTCCTCTCAGTGAATAACAGAATAAATAAGAACTGTGCTATGATAACTTTTTATATAGGATAACTCCACTTTCTGGCATATCTCACTTTTTCTTTAATAATTAGGGCAATATTTCTGTTCTCTGGGGATACCTCTTCCGTCTTTGGCAGCATTGTTGTTGCGTTGCAAGGCTACTGAATTTTATATAATTTGTGTATGACCAGGTGAAGAAAATCTCTGTCCTTCCCTCGGAAAGAAAGGTTGGTGGGCCAGAGGTAAAGCTGCTGTTATGACTTGTGCTTCTTAATCCAAATTTGCTCTTGTCATGGCACTCAGCAGATAATCCCCCCAGAACCGAACAGCAGCTGCTGAGTAATCTTTTTTTTCTTTTGGCTCTACTAGTAAATTCACACCCCCACTGCCTTTTGACCTAACACATAACATTTCCACGGCTGCAGCTTTTGCAGCTTTCAATTTGCTTATTTCGGCGCATGGCTGGTTGAAAAGCTGCATGAAGATATAAATATGTATTCGGAGAGAAAATGAATTTAATTGTACCCTATTCTTTTTATGTTGTCTTTCTTCTCCCTCTTTATTTTCTTTTAAAAATCATTATAATTTTGCATCCTTTCTTTTCCTTTTTTCTTTTTTGCTGACCAGTCCCCCAGCTACTTTCTCCCTGATACATATCACTTAGGGGTGTGCAAAGAACCTGTGTCGAAATTCCAAACTGACCAGAGAAGGCTGGCCCAACTGAGAGAGCTTAGAGCCAAGTTTTTTCTCTCATAGATAATATCTGGCTGGAGTAGATGGCAGAGCACAGAAATTGTGGGGGGAGAAAACTTCTCAATTGGACAGTTGGAAAAGACAACTAACCTTAAAAGTGTCAAAAGTACTTGGTTAATGTGATGTATAAACCTTCACGATGATTGTTATCACTGTTATTTTTAATCGTGATTCTGCAAGAGGGGGAGGGAGTTTGCAGTTGTTGAGATTTGGGGAGGGGGGTGTTTTGTTTTTGGCAGACCTTGGAGGCACATAGAAACTTTTATACTTTTGTTCTTCTTTTGCAATCTTTAAAATGTACGGGATTAAGATTTTTATTGCCTTGAGCAAAAGCTAATCGCCACACCCAATGAACTGTTACAGCTTTTTAAGTCTGTGTGAAGAGATATGAAGATAACTTTTTATATTCTGCCATTCTATTTGTAATAAAAGTAACTTTTCTGATGGCAAAAAGAATGCTTCATTTTTGGCTTTGCCCAATTGATCTAAGAAAAATTGGCAGCACTAAACAATGAAAAACGACCCAAGATCCCTATGAGTATCCTTGAAACCTCGAGGAATGAATACTGTAATAAATAAGTCAAGTAATTCCTTGAACTTCCTGGACTTCTAATGTGCATTCATTCAAGAAATTATCTATTGAGTACTCGACTGTGTTATGGAAACTTTGCTGGGATAAATTGCCAAAGTAAAGTGGAAAAAAGAGTATCCGTAAGATTTTCCCAAGCCCTTTGCACATCCCCAAGTATCATTTTTGAGCATTTTCCCATCTGTCATTTTGTTCATCTTTCTCTGTCTTTCTTGATCTTCTACCGTGAAAGCAGACACAAGAACGTGCTCTGTTAGTGCAGGATGAAGAGAAAAGTAAAAGGCAAGAGAGATCTACTGAGAGAGCCTTGCCCCAGCAAGAAAATGAAGAAATTCTTCCCAAGGTTTCTATTCCAATCCCTGAGGATCACAAGTCTCTCAAAAAGTGCCGCCTCTACTCTAGTACTTTTCCATCTCCTCGTATTCCTTTCATGATGTCTTTTCTCGTGATTCTTGCGTTGGCTGTTTGGTGGTTGGTCTTTCTGTGATCAGAAGACAGGGTGCTCATCTGAAATGTCAAGACTAAAACCATTGAACTTTTGTTGTTTGCTTCCACTGTGTTATCTCCTGGATGATGCGCTCTGATCTTGATAGTTCACTGTCCTAGGGGAGCTCTTTGTGATCGTTTTTCTGTCAATAAAATGTTAGTCTTTGCAGAATATGTATCGTGGGGCACAAAGGAGTAGCAATGGATTGCCCAAGCCAGCTTTCCTCACTGATATTTAACAAGTTTAGACAATCAGATTTAAGCATATGACAGTTGGTACTTTCCCCTAAAGCTTTAACTCTTTTATCCTGCATGTTCTTATTGTTTACTGTTACTGTGTCCTCCTCTTTAGTGTTTCACGCAAAGCAGGATACTCTAGAAACACTGGATGGAATATTTCCTAATCTTCTATAGTCATTTGTGTGGCATGGGCTCTGCAGTTTAAGGGAAAAAGTCAACTGGCTAATTTTTCAAAAGCCTTAAAATGATACATTTTAACATATGAATCCATAACCACTCCTTTTCTTGAGATATCAAACCAGTATATACAAAGGCCTTTTTCTGGAAAAGGGCTTTTGCCTTCTGTGGCCTTCTATGTGTATTTCTGAGATGTATAGGGAAAAACAACTTTATCCTGCCTGGTGTATAGAAGGGATCTGCAAAGGTTAAACGCCAGCTTTTCACAAGTAGAATGTTGATGGATTAAGGTAAATGGTGCTGGCGCCCCTTAGCCTCCAGCCAGGGCTGAATTTCCAGACCGCTCTACCCTTCTTTAAAAGTCCTGGGATAGAGATTTATTTAAGATCTGTACATAAATGTACCTTTCTCTGAATTAAAATGTTGTGTTTCTTCTTTACAACTTAAGTAATTATATTGCTGGAAGCAATACTTAACCATTATAATGAGTTTAAAATATATATTGATATATTCTGTTTTTCTGATAGACCTCAGACATATTTATTCCTACATTTGTGTTGAAATCAATTGTTTTTAATTGATGGCCTTGTGAGCTAAAGTTCTGTCATGACAAGTATGTGTCCTCTGTTTGCATGTTGATTTGTAAGGCTTCCCTGAAGTAAATATGAGTGTGCTCTGTCTTCACAACACAGCTCGGATACCTAACCTGTTATTTTTGTGTCTCAGTATTAACAACATCTTGCATGTAGCTCACTTTTTATGGCACTTGAATGTACCAATATGGATAATTTGGCTAATGTTGTCTCAAATCTTTGTTTTGAAATCTGAGTTCATGACGTTATCAAACTGAGATTTTTGCACTTTGTTTTACTTCTCAACACTTTTTAATTGATGAAGCTTCTAAACAAGACTTTCTGTTTTTAAGATGATGGCTTCTTAGAGCAAAAAAAGAGAGAACACTGATGCCAAGAATCTTTTGTCCTTCAACACCCACCACTATTCTATTTTCTCTGGAGACATGTAGAAATAATTCTCTGGTATTTCCTAAAAACTGCAACTCTGTCATTATAGGCTTTCCCAAAAAATGGGGAAAGAAGTAAGGAGTGGGTTAAATTTTTAAATCTGTTATGGGTGTGTATCTTTCATGTCACAGGCTATGTCTGTTTATAACAAATATTTTGTAACTAAGCATATGTCTTGATTCACTTATAAGAAAAGAGAGACCTCAAATCAGCCTGACGCATCTCACAGCTATCCTCGAAACACAGAAAGTGATCATCCTAAGTACTCCCCTTTATCTGTGAAATAGAAATATAAGAGCTTTCCTAATGAAATAACAAAACTATAACATTGGTTAGAGTCTTTTAAAATTTTTTCAAGGAACTGAAAAGGAAATAATCAGCATTTTATTGATACTTTTATACCTGTTTAAGATTATATTTCCAGTTTTCATCCCGGTACACAGTTTTTATTAATTATTATTGTAAACTTCACCTTGGATTTTCTTTCCCTTTGTTTTTAGAGTTATTCCAAATCCATTAAAAGTCTAGTGTAAGGCAATAATGTTTTTCAGTTTTCCGAAGTGCAGTGGGAATCCTCAGAGATCCTTACTGATGGATAAAAGAGAGGCCCTTTCTTTTATTAATAGGATAAGAATGATTGAAAGGAGAAGGGCCAAGCCTTTGTATTGGATTAAACTGGTCAGTGCAGGTTCAGAAGATATATTGATCACAGCTATCAAAGGAAAAATAGTAGACATTACAGCTTTGTGTTAACTAACATTAATTAATACTGCTGAAATTTGAAAGCTGTATAAGACTAGTCTTACTTTCCTTCTCACACACATCTCATTCCATTCTCAATACCAGAGACAGATCCAAATAACTGTGTATTGGTTTTATCCTGGGTCAGCTTCTTAATGGCCAGTTGAGAAGTTAAAAACAATAAGTTAAAAACCACGCCTCGGTGGTTCAGTCAGTTAAGCGTCCAACTCTTGATTTTGGCTCAGGTCATGATCTCCTGATTCGTGAGACTGAGCCCTGTGTTGGGCTCTGCAGTGTGGAGCCTGCTTGGGATTCTCTCTCCCTCTCTCTCTACTCCTCACTGCTTGCTCATGGATGCTCTTTTTCTTTCTCAAAAATAAATACATAAACTTAAAAAAAAAATTGGACTAAAGACGTCAATACAGACCAGTAAAAAGTCTTATTTTGGGTTTTTTTTTTTTTGCCTTGGTTTTGCTTTTAGTCATTTCTAAGGTGACTCCGAGAAGTTCACTAAACTACTTGGTGCCCAGATTTCCACCTAGTAACATAAAGACAAACCTACCTCATGAGAATGAATCTGTAACGTGTTCCAGGAACCAAAAGCTCTGGTTATTGTTCATTTCTTGGTCTTTTGTGTATTGGCAAGATGGAAACTTAAAAACAAACAGATATTAACTTCTTGGAATTTTTCATATGAAAGCAAGCAGTTAAATAGCTGTGTTTATTTCCATCTACTTTTTACTGATATTTGACCAAGCACTTAAAACTACTAAAGGTAAAAATGTCTTTTCAAATTCTTCATACTCTTAAGCAATTTATCTTATACTTATGGTATTCTTACAGAGGACCAAACTTGAAAATAAACCCAGCATCAATCTTTTGGATCTACCTTTTAGCCATTTTCTTATGCTAACACTTAGAATACAAAGGAGATTCAGTTTGTGTGGGTCAATTTTACAGCTTGTTTACATCTTTGGTAAAAGTTTTGAAGGGAGAAGATATTGACTCTATTGGCTAATATTAGACTAGGGATCTTCTGTGGATTAGATTTCCATTTGTCATACTAGATCCTAGTATGTTTCTTTCTAGTCTCTTAATTTTCTGTGATTATAAGCCAGTTTACTTTCTCTTACATTCCTAAGTTACTTTCTTACAGATAAGCATAAAGAATATACTAGGTGTTAGAGGTCTAGTTATTTTTTAGAAGGCATTACCAAGCAAAATTTATATTGGA